GGTTTAGGTTGAATGTTGAGCTCAACCTCTTATTCATTTTGATAATAAAGAAGGATCTTAGCTTTTCGCATTCTCTTTAAAAGGACTTGATTTTGATTCTTTCTTGGGATGAGTGTACGGACGGTAAGCGGCTTCCCGAACTTAGCTGAGGTCAGGTGCATCGAGCTCAAACTCTTTCCCTGGGTGGGACATGGATCTCGATCTGCCTCCACCGGAAGAAGTAGAAGTGACCATTGATTGAGGAGGGGAACCTGATATGGATGTGACGGGGAAAGGGATCTAGCCCGCATTAGGGTGATTGTAGAGGCCCAACTGAAAGAAAGGGTCGCTCAAAGCTAGGACAGGGGGTCCTTGACGAACAGGTCCAGGCCGAAATCCTCCGCCGGGGATTGTCTCACTCGGATTTCTATTTCCACATGCGCAGCGCTTTGATCCTGAGAACTTGGAAAAAAAGGGGAAATCTTTTTTCCGTCTAGTAACGCAGCTTAGGAAAGATGATAGCTCCATAAACTATTAGGTCAAACGCAATATTGAACGGAATCTTCTCTCTTTCATTTTCCAAGAATGCAAAATCAGCTTCTAGCAATATAGTCTCGCCCCACTCTTGATAGTGAAAGAAGGGCACTAATGGAAGATGACTTTTTCTTTTTCTTCTTCTTGTCTTTTTTGGTATGCCGCTCCGCGATTAAGGAGCGAAGCTATAAGCCCGAGGTGTAGAGGCAAATAAGTGAAGCTACTGAACCATAAAGAATAGGGGAGCCAGAGAACATAAATCGAACCTAATATCATGAATATCCTTCGCCCGTTATCTCCTCATCTTCCTATTTATAAGCAACAGCTCACTTCGACGTTTCCAATTTCCCATAGAATCTCTGGGACTTTCCTAGCCACTCTCGTTTTGTTTTTTTATCTTCTTTGTCTGAAAATGGGTTTGATTTGCTTCACCCGTGATAATTTCTACAGATTTCTCTTTTATTCATCAAAGCTCATCCTAATCTTTGTCGAGATTACTACCTTAGCCCTGTCCTATCATCTGTATAAGGGGGTTCGTCATTTATTGACGGATTTTGTTTCGTTTCGGAAGAGAGAGAGAAAGACAAATTGATGATGATTGATAGCTCTCTTCTTTCAAGCTTATGTCGTATCAGGCTATTGGCGTTTTATCTGCATCTTCCTGACCAAGACCCAGAAAGAAGGGGTTCGCTTTGTTTGGGATGAACTCGCAAAGACTCGACCTGGGGACTTCCCTCGTAGAGTGGCGTCTTTTATAAGACTCTACTTTCCTTGAGAAGTGGAACTCAAAGGGAACTCAAAAAAAAGAGTTTGAGCTCGTTTGGCTGACTTTTAGCCCTTTCGATAGGGCGGCTATCCGCATGTGTCCCAAAGTGACGTCCATTTTTTGGTAATGATGATGGGTATATTCGAGAGAAAAGTGTGGAATTCGACCTCATACGCGGTGTCATTGACTCCTTTTTCGTTGAGAGGATCCCCTTTCTTTCGACATGAATCCACATCGTTGGCATTTTGGATATTTGTATAACCATCGAGAAGTTTAAAGGCGTTGAGGATGAAAACAATATCCATTGTCGTCCAGTGGTTAGGATATCTAGCTTTCACCTAGGACACTTGGGTTCAATTCTTGGCAATGGAAAACATGGTAAAGATTTTTATATTTTTATCCTTAATCCATATCTTTGCATTTTGGATATTTGTATAACCATCGAGAAGTTTAAAGGCGTTGAGGATGAAAAAGATATCCATTGTTGTCCAGCGGTTAGGATATTTGGCTTTCACCTAAGAGACTCAGGTTTCAATTCCTAACAATGGAAAATATGGCAGGATTTTTATATTTTTATCATTAATCGTCCGCGATTAGGATATTTGACTTTCACCCAAGAGACTCACTTTCACCAAGAGACTCAGGTTCAATGGAAAACATGGTAAGGATTTTTATATTTTTATCCTTAATTCATATCTTTGCATTTTGGATATTTGTATAACCATTGAGAAGTTTAAAGGCGTTGAGGATGAAAATGCAACGGTTAGGATATTTGTTTTTCACTCAGGAGATCGGGGTTCAATTCCTGGCAATGGAAAAAACATGGTAAGGATTTTTAATATTTTTATTCCTTAATCCATATCTTTGCATTTTGGATATTTGTATAACTATCGAGAAGTTTAAAAGCGTTGAGGATGAAAAAAATATTGATTGTCGTCCAGTGGTTAGGATATCTGGCTTTCACCCAGGAGACTCGGGTTCAATTCCCGTCAATGGTAAGGATTTTTATATTTTTATCCTTAATCCATATCTTTGCATTTTGGATATTTGTTTAACCATCGAGAAGTTTAAAGGCGTTGAGGGTGAAAAAAATATTCATTGTCATCCAGCGGTTAGGATATCCCTCTTTCACCTAAGAGACTCAAGTTCAATTCCCGTCAAGGTTCAATTCCCGTCAATGGAAAACATTGTTTAGGATTGTTATATTTTTATCCTTAAATCCATATCGTTGAGGATTGTTATATTTTTATCCTTAAATCCATATCGTTGAGGATTGTTATATTTTTATCCTTAAATCCATATCGTTGGCATTTTGGATATTTGTATAACCATCGACAAGTTTAGAGTGAGAACAAAAAAATATGGAAAACTTTGTTGGGATATATTTTAATTTTAACCTTAATCCATATAGTTTATATTTTGGATATTTGAGTAAAACTTTATTGGGATATATTTAAATTTTATCCTTAATCCATATCGTTTGTATTTTGGATATTTGAGTAAGAGAAGTTTAGAGGTGTTGAGGACAAAAAAATATGTCCCCTAGCGGTTAGGATATTTGACTTTTACTTAGGAGACTCGAGTTCAATTCTACAAAGAAATATGTCCCCCAGCGGTTAGGGATATTTGTGTTTTACTTAGGGGACTCGAGTTCAATTCTTGGCAATTGAAAACTTGGTCAACTTTTACCATCGAGAGGTTTAGAGGCATTGAGGACAAAGAAATATTATCCATTGTCGTGTTATGATATCTAGCTTTCACCCGAGACTCGGGTTCAATTGTATTTTTGACATTTGTATAACCATCGAGAAGATTAGAGGCGTAATGACAAAGAAATATCTATTGTTGTCTAGCGGTTAAGATATTTGGCTTTCACCTAAGAGACTCAAGTTCAAATCCCTATAATAGAAAACCTTGGCTAAAATTTTATCCTTAATCATCTCGTTCGTTAGATAGAAGTGGTACCTAGGAGGTGCCATTTTGTAAGATTTTTTTTTACAAAAGCGGTTGGCTTTTCACCCAAGAGACATGAGTTCAAGGCCATGAAAAACTTAGTATATATTTTGATTTTATTCTTAATCCATCTCGTTTGATTTGTATAATTGAGAAGTTAGAGTCGTTGAAGACAAAGAATCATTGTTGTCTAGCGGTAGGATATTTGGCTTTCACGAGAAGACTTGAGTTTCAATCCAACAAAGGAAAACTTTGTTAGGATATTTATATTTTAACCTTAATTCATATAGTAATTTGTACTCTTTGAGACAAAGAAGCAAATTAATAAAAAATAAAAAATATATAAATTTAAAATAAAAAATATATAAATTTTGAACGTCCAAATTAATAATTAATATATTAATTATATTAAATATAAAATGAGTAAAATAATGTTTAATGTAAAGTATTCCTCCTATTTTTTCATTTATATCATGGAGACTAATTTCATGTTTACTTCAAATTTTGATTTCATTTTTAATGACATATTTACTGCCCAACTACTTTATTATCATTTTTATTTAATAACAAAATAATTAAATGTATAATAAATCAAATGTGAAATAAAAATACTTTTAATTTTAATAAAATAGAGTGATTGAAAATAGTTTGAAATGAAATTGAAACTATTTCAAATGTTTATTAAAAAAATTATTAAGGGGTTAAATAGAAAAACTAGAAAATTTAAAATGGTTGTACAAGTAACAGATTCTTCTAAGAGAATTTAAAAGGTACGTGATACGAATCCAACAACGGATCATTTGCCTAGACTATACAAAAAAAAAATTCAGTATCAAATCAACAAAAGAGAAGGGATACAATAAATATCATCCGAAAGACTTTTTTATCTTTAGTTGAAATGCAGTCGGTAGTTGAACTAAGTTAGGTTTGAATTATCTTTTTTTGGCATATTCAAAGACCTGTAATATTTAAGTATAAAATCACTGTGAAATACAAAAACCTTGTTTGTAAGCCTTTAGGTGTGATGTTTCTTGTTCAAACCTTGCTTTAGGTTTGATGTTAAAATCGATTTATTGGATTAGTCATGATCAAGTTAATTATGAAATGAGTCGTCTTAGAATCTAAGAGTGACCATCATAGATTTCAAATTCGATCTCAGAGTTATTCATCTTCTAACCAACTCTTGGTTGGAATTAATTCGTTAAGTTACCTTTTTTTGTAAAAGTTTGAAAAGGTACTAAAATGACCTCTAGCTTTGCAAAAATTCAATCATGTTAACGCTTATCAAACACACTTCCAAGCTTCTAAAGGGTGTATTCATATGATCAGATAAATCGACTAACTTAAACTATCAAATTCAAACTATTAAGATTGAGTTGAGTTAAAAAAAAATAGATCGGTTAACAAGTTGACATACTTTAGTTGGATCAATCTACCCACTTCCACTAACATAAAAATAAGGTTACAAATTCAATCTAATAACTTTTTTAATTATTATAAATATTAAAAATATTTAATGTTCGTAATCAATACTAATAATAAATGTTATGATATGGGAATGTTTGATATTTTAATTTTATAAAATTGAGTTATTAATATAATGTATTAATAATAAGTAAGCTTTTTAATCATTTTAAAAAAAATTCCTCTCCCAATCTGAAAATAGAAGCTAAAATTTCACCAAAAATTTTGAATCGGTCAATCAACCTAACCGTACACAGGTGGGTCCGGTGGACGACCGTGGAATCCAAAAGGGACCCGATCCAGCTATCTACGCATCTGCCATGTGTAGCGTCGTCTTCATCCACCGCCAAGATAAGATGCAATAGGCAGAAACGGGGGATTTTGAGAGCACATTTTCTGAGAATTTGACGCTCCAAAAATGGCTTCTCTCCCTCACCCAGTAGCACATTTTCTTGTCCCCTCTCTAACTCCCAAAACCCCATCTTCCATTAAACTCCCATTTCTTCCCAAATCCTCCAATTCCCAGTTTCTGGGAGCCCAAATTTGTGTTCGCATTTCCCCTACCTCTGTTCCTTCTTCTTCCTCCTTCAAAATCACCATCTCTTCTAAGGTACATCGCTCTCCTTTGTCGATTTTTGATTCATCATTTGGTTTTTGTGCTTAGATTTTGGGTTTTGGTTGGGTAGGTGAACAAGGGCCAAGCCCCTCCTGCGTTCACCCTGAAAGACCAGGACGGGCGGAATGTGAGCCTCTCTAAATTCAAAGGGAAGCCTGTGGTTGTCTACTTCTACCCTGCCGATGAGACTCCTGGCTGCACCAAGCAGGTACCATTCCTCTTCTCTAAAATGGGATTTCCCTTTCCTTAATCCAAAACCAACAAATTCACATCTCTGCACATTTCTGCACATCTCTGCACATTTCTGCAGGCTTGTGCTTTCAGAGATTCTTATGAGAAGTTCAAGAAAGCAGGGGCTGAGGTTGTCGGCATTAGCGGCGATGATTCATCTTCACACAAGGTAATTACACAAGCCGATATTGTCTCTGTGGGCTTTTCTGCTTTCCATCTCGGCTTTACAAGGGTGTTTCGTTCTCACATTGACATGATTGAAAATGTAGGCTTTTGCAAAGAAATACAGACTTCCATTTACATTGCTGAGTGATGAGGGTAACAAAGTGAGGAAAGAATGGGGAGTTCCTGCCGATCTTTTTGGAACATTGCCTGGACGACAGACTTATGTTCTTGATAAGAATGGGATTGTGCAGCTCATATATAACAATCAGTTCCAACCCGAAAAGCATATTGACGAGACCCTCAAATTACTTCAGAGCCTTTAAATCTATGTATTCCTTGTAGAATTAGGAAGGTGCTATTTGTTGGTATCGGACGATTATCTGGTTCTTGTTGATATCAATTGAAGCAGTTTATGTGTATGGAAGAACTCTTGATAGAATAGTGTTGGTACTCTTTGTTCGGGTTTCTTTTATTATTATTATTTGTTGAACCAAGTCTGTAATGTTAATTGTCTAACAAACTTGATATGAAATCGACCCAATCTCAAGTCAGAACACTTGTTTGAGATTTGAATCATTCCACCAGCAAAATTGATCATGTCGAGCTTGAATAACTCTACATGCAACCTAAACATATAGAAACCTAAACTATATAAAATTGGTGTTCCTTCCGCTTTATTTTCCAATATGCTCCTTGCTTCATTGTCCAAAATGCTCCTTCACTTCATTTTCCAAATCTCGATTGCAAAATTAATGTACATGACTTTATATAGCTTCAAAATAAAACTCTTCACCTCCCATTTATTTAGCCTCAAAATGAAACTTTTCACCTTCCATTAGAATCGAGATAGATATAGAAGCGACCATAAATATTCACTTTTTGTTTAGGTTGGAGGCTTGGTTGGGTTGGGTAACATATATGCTATAACAAAATGTATGATTATGCGAACACAAAAGAGATAATTTTGAACTAGTCCCTTTTTGAACTAGCCCCTCTAAATCCAAGTCTTTCTACATGTTCACGATCCCGGACAATGAACTTTACTCATCATCAACATTATTTGTTGAAATTATTGTCTAAACCTTGACTGAGCTCAATGCACTCCCTCCTACCAACAAAGAATAAAGACAACCTAACAAAGTCAATTGTTTGTTCAAAAGTCTCCTAACTAACATTATTCCTTGAAAGCATGTCTGCACACAAACTATACAAAGTTTATGAATCTAACATCTAACCAGCAATTAAAAGTTTTAAGTTTATAACATGCAACAATGGTAATATCTCGTAATATCTCTATATATTTTGTACGTGTACAATGTAGTATTTGCCTTTTGAATATTGTGAGAATTTTTTTTGTCTTTTCTTGATGCAAAAATATCGTTGTTGTCCTCATGTGCTCATATATAAGTTGGTTGCTTCCAATGTAAGAGCATCATCGACGTCTTTTTCAACCTAATCCTCCTCACGTCCTCCTCCATTCCCTTAATGATTGAGTGTCTATGTGCGTTTTGAATACCACAATTTTTGATATTCCTACTTTCTTTACGTAGAAATTTATTATATTTGCCTTCCTTTTCTATACTTCTGGTAGGAAATTTTATGCTCCTTTCATATACTCTTAAGTAGGGCTAAGGAGGTCGATTTTGTTAAATATTAGAAAACTAGCTAACAATGTTACTTATATTCCATTCGATTTAAATACAATCAATCTTTGTTGAACATTTTGAAGGCGCTGATATTATTAGAAATGATCCTATTTTTTCTTTTAAAACAAAGTCTATGACATGTGTGGAAATTTCTTAATAATAGTTTACTAAAATGTTGTCAAGAACTTAAACGTTCGGAAAATTCGTTTAAATTAATAATGATGTCAACAAACAACAAAATCAAAATAACAAGAATTTCAAAGTAATGGAAATGCCCTAATCTAACTTAAGGGCTATAACGTTAAATGTAAATACGACTACCCTAAGTAAATTCCTATGGCCTTCATAGTGACACTATCATTCGTACAAGGATGTCTTACGTAAGTGTACAGTCATGTATACGTACTCCCTAGCATTAAGCTGTATACATGGACCATGCATGCACACATAGACCCATTAGGCGAGTTTGTGTATGTTCCCCTTGGACTTGCCTACGGGCTAGCATGCACTCACGTTATCGGAAGAATTGAGGAAAAGGAGTGTGCATAATATCATGGTGTACATAATATCGTAGTGCACTTGTCCGTACGAATCATAATAGGATTGTTCATATCATAGCATATAGGGTATGAGTTAAAACATTCATATAATAGCATTGTTCATATCATAACATAACTCATATCATATCATAAATCGTTACATAACATAACATATATCATACATCATAAAAGTATGACACGTAAGGGGCTATAAGATCGCATCATTCATACAACATATATTTCATCCAACCATGCCTGTATCGGTAGAATCACTTGCTTGGTTGGGCTAAGTTGAAGTCACTAAACCCTCCTATGATAGGGTGATCTTGCATGGTAGACACCAAATTTTCAAACCCAAGCAATAACCAAAAGCTTAGCATATGTTTCATTAGGGACCGTCACTCTAGAGGATATGTTGAACATTTTAGCTTATTGCCGCTTTATATTACGACGTTCCATTTCTGACATTCACTCAAACAAACAAAAACAAAAAATATTTGGCTTTCACCTTAGAGACCCCAGTATAATTCCCGACAATTGAAACTTTGTATTATTATGAAAGATATTTTTATTTTATCATTAATCCATCTATTTTGTATTTTGGATATCTGTATAACCATCGAGATGTTTAATAGTGTCGAGAACAAAGAAACATCCATTGTGCGGTTATAGGATATTTGATTTTATCCGTAATCCATATCCTTTATATTTTTTATATCTCTATAATCATCGAGAAGTTTAGAGGCATTGTAGACAAGGAAACATCCATTGTTATCCAGTGGTTAGGATACTTGGTACCATTGTTAGGATATCTGGCTTTCACCTAGGAGACTCGAGTTCAATTCCCTGCCATTTATATTTTGGATATATGTATAACCATCGAGAAGTTTAGAGGTGCTAATGACAAAGAAACATTTATTGTCGTCCAATGGTTAAGACATCTAGCTTTCATCTAGGAGTTCAATTCCTCACAATGGAAAATTTGGTACCATTGTACCATTTTATAGGATATTTGAATTAACCATCAAGAAGTTTAGAGGTGTTGATGACAAACAATTATCCATTGTCGTCTAGCGGTTAGTATATTTAGCTTTCACCTATGAGACTCGGGTTCAATTCTTGACAATGGAAAAATTGGTAACATAAACTTTTTTATAGGATATTTGAATTTTATCTTTAATCCATTTCGTTTATATTTTGGATATCTATATAACCATCAAGAAGTTTAGAGGTGTTGATGACAAAGAAACATCCTTGTCGTCTAGTTTAGAGGTGTTGATGACAAAGAAACATCCAACATCCATTGTCGTCTAGAAACATCTTTGTCGTCTAGTTTAGAGGTGTTGATGACAAAGAAACATTCATTGTTGTCTAGTTTAGAGGTGTTGAAGACAAAGAAACATCCATTGTCGTCTAGTTTAGAGGTGTTGATGACAAAGAAACATTCATTGTCGTCTAGTTTAGAGGTGTTGATGACAAAGAAACATCCATTGTTGTCTAGTTTAGAGGTGTTGATGACAAAGAAACATTCATTGTTGTCTAGTTTAGAGGTGTTGATGACAAAGAAACATCCATTGTCGTCTAGTTTAGAGGTGTTGATGACAAAGAAACATCCATTGTCGTCTAGTTTAGAGGTGTTGATGACAAAGAAACATCCTTGTCATCTACCGGTTAGGATATTTGGCTTTTAATTCCCGGCAATGGAAAATTTTGTACCATTTTATAGGATATTTGAATTTTATCTTTAATCCATATCATGTATATTTTGGATATCTATATAACTATCGAGAAGTTTAGAGGTGTTAATAACAAAGAAACATTCATTGTTATCCAGTGGTTAAGATATCTAACTTTTACCCAGGGGAACTAGGTTCAATTCCCGGCAAAGAAAACAAATTTAGGATGTTTGAATTCTATCTTTAATCCATATCGTTTATATTTTGGATATCTATATAACCATCGAGAAGTTTAGAGGTGTTAAAGACAAAGAAACATTCATTGTTGTCCAGTGGATAGGATATTTGACTTTCACCTAAGAGACCTAGGTTCAATTCCTGATAATGGAAAATTTGTTACCATTTTATAGGATATTTGAATTTTATCTTTAATCCATATCGTTTATATTTTTGATATCTATATAACTATCGAGAAGTTTAAAGGTATTGATGAAAAAGAAATAGTCATTGTCGTGTAGCAGTTAGGATACCTGACTTTCTCCCAAGAGACCCGGGTTCAATATTGAAAATTTGTGATCATTTTACCATTTTATAGGATATTTGAATCCCAGGAGACTCGTGTAATATTGAAAATTTGTGATCATTTTACCATTTTATAGGATATTTGAATCCCAGGAGACTCGTGTTTAATTCCCGGCAACCATTTTACCATTTTATAGGATATTTGAATCCCAGGAGACTCGTGTTTAATTCCCGGCAACCAAAAAATTGGTGTGAATTTTATCTTTAATTCATATTGTTTATATTTTGGTATCTGTATAACCATTGAGAAGTTTAGAGGTATTTTAATAGAATATTTGAATTTTATCTTTAATTTTGGATATCTATATAACCCAGGAAAATTTGGTATCATTGGTACAAAGGAGAATAAGACCAAAAAAAAAAAAAAAAAAACATTCATCGAATTTGATCGCCTTCCATTCACAAGCAGCAGCTAGTTCAGGACTCCATTTACTAGTCTCACGAATAATTTCATTACCCTTACGAGCAAGATCACATTCCTCATTACGAGCTTGTACACCTGTTTTTGGAGCTACTCGGTTAGCTACGATACCTAGTGCATTACCCCAAGGGTGCCCCAAAGTTCCTCCGTCGAATTGTAGTTTAGAATCATCTCCAAATATCTTGGTTAAAGCAGACATATGCCAAATGTGAATACCACCCGAAGCCACTAGTAGAACACCTGGTAAAGAGGCCCAATCTTGAGTGAAATAAATACCACGGCTTCGATATTTTTTAACAAAATCATCACGTAGTAAATCAACAAAGCCTAAAGTAAAGTCTCTTTCCTCTTCAAATTTACATACGGTACCAGCGTGAATATGGTTTTCACCAGACAGAAGTAACACTTTAGCTAGTATGCGGAAGTGCATACCATGAGTCTTCTGTCTATCAATAACGGCATGCATTATACGGTGAATGTGAAAAAGTAGATCATTATATCGTCAATGATGAGACAAGCTAGTATTTGCAGTGAATCCACTTGTTTAGTAGTCATGCATTGCGATAGGAACTCCAAATTCTCGAGCAAATATAGCAATTTTCATCATTTCTTCGCATGTCTCCGCA